TCTTCCTTGTTGGACATTTGCAATGAAAGATGCATGAAAGAAAGGTTGCTGCCCAAATACACATCAATATCATAATTTTCTAAGTTGCCCTGAAAAAAAAACACCTTTTGCTCTAGAAATGTCCAGATCCCTTGCTTTGTGTATATATATATATATATATATATATATATACACACATACACACACTGTACATTTTATATCTGTATATTAATATTTATACTTATATTGTTAGTACAAATTTTAATTATTGTTCCTGCTCATTGTTATTTGTGCTGTTATTTATTCATTCAGTCATTATTTTATTTTAAACTTAACAGCCTAGTAAATTCAGTTTTGCTATTTGATGTTTAAGTATAAAGGAGGGTTTCCTAATCTATGTGACATGATCTACTGGTGGGCAATTTCAGCTGTTGGTTGGGCGATGAGCAACTGAACAGAAAATGGCAGGTGATTGGAAATTTTGGTGGGTGATATACGATTTTTTGTATTAAAAAGGTATTTCAACATATGCCCCCCACTGAAACAATTCAAACAAGATATGCAAAGAACCTATATAAAAAAAAATAGGAGACTAAATGGGAATAACTGTGTCACATTCCTAGATAAGATATAAATATCCCTGCAAATAACAAATATTTTGGCATTTTCTTTTGTTTTGAGAAGGGTTATTAACATTCAAATAGTTCTTCAGATAAAATAACATTTTTTTCAGGGATAAATCAAATAAGGGAAGGTCAAAAACAACAAAAAAATTAATCACTGAATTTTTATCAATTGCTAGTAGAGTATATTCTTTTTAATTTTATAATTATGAATAAAAAATTGTTTAATTTTATGTCAACACTTACAACACTAATTCTAACCATAAAACTAACCTTGACCATAAAACTATAGTTTTTCAATAGTTATGTTTGCTTTCATTTGTTCTTTAATATGGTAGTAGCAGGAGCAGCCACCACATAAGTCAATATTATTTGTTATCTCCCTTCGATATTTTTTTTACTACATCATAATGTCAGTAACAAACTTTTACTAAACAACTTTGGCATGCTTTTAAATATTTACTATACAGGTAGATGGTGGAAGATTTTTGCCATATGAAAGTGAGCAATGATGCAAAAAAGTTTGGGAACCCTTGTCATAGAACATTTTACTAGTACATGAATAGTGTGTGACTTTGATATGAACAAATTTCTAAATATCAAGTGAATAACTTAGGCTTTAACTAAAATTATACTTTGCAAACGATTTTATCAGATGAATCAAAGTGATTTTTTTAAATTGACTTCATCCCAAGCAAGGCAGTAAAGCCACAAAGACATAAGTGGGGTTACTAGGTGTGGAAGAATTAGAAATCAGAAACTTTATTAAGGAGCAAAAACAAGAAGTGTAATCAGGAGGACAGTAGAAAGCGATTGACATTGAATTTAAATTTTTAAACATTAAAATTGGTGGGAAAGTATGGTGCCGGAAGAGATTTCCATAAGTGAGAAGTGCAAGAAAAGAAACTGTTAGCATAGAACATATAGTTATATCTTGTCAACTCAACTGTAAATTGGTGTAACCTTGTTGCCAGTCTAGTATTGCACTTAAATTTATAAGGTCTAGGTATCATGATGAAGAGCTCTTCCAAACAGCTGCCATGAAAGTATATATAGAAAATGCACAGGGAGGTAAATTTACAGTGGTGGGAAAGTGACTGAAGCTGAGATGCTAGATCGAGACCAATAATATTGCTGATTCTTCTTTGGATTTTATCAAGTATCTCTAGATATATAGCAGGAGCACCAGACCATATGTGGCAGTAATATTCAAAACATGGATGAATAGTAGGTTTATAAATCTGTAAGATAGATTCAGGAAAGAAAACTTGTCTAGCACAACACAGTGAACAAACTTTCTTAGCAGCTGACCTAGCAATGAATTCAATATAGTCTTTCCACTTCATGTCAGCTGAGGGATATTAGCTCGAGAAGGTGAAATGATTCACTCTCCTGGAGGTTAGCATCAGCCATGCTGATGGAAGACAGAAAGGGATCTCTCAGATGATTAACAGAGAGCAGTTTAGTTTTGGAGGCATTAAGATTAACAAACCATCCTTTGCCCCAGCTAAAAGTTGATTGAAGGTTGTTTTTTGATATCTGCTCCTAATTTGACCTTATTGAACCAATCAAACTTAGAGTAAATGGTTGTGTCATCAGCATAGATACCAAGTTAAGAGTTGATGCCATAGGGAAGGTCATTGATGAAAATTAAAAACAAAGTTGAACCAAAGATAGAGCCCTGAGGGACACTTGCATTAGTAAAAATGGATCTAGAAGAGTGGCCATTCAGTGTGACTTTCATTTCACAATTTGATAAAAAAAAGACTGGAACAGTTCAAAAAATTTGGCCCTGCAATGTGAAATTCTTAACCAATTCAGCATTAAGACCTCTAGTAATTTCCAAAACAAGGTAGAAGGCTAATAGGCTGATAGTTGAAAGAGTTCAATGGTTTACCTGAGTTCTTAAAACTGGAACAACAGATGAAGATTTCCAGCATGAAGGAAAGCAACAGACAGCGAGGCATTTATTATACACTTTAGAGAGAATAGGAGTCAGTTTGGGAACACATTTCTTAAAAACTATTACATGGATACCATCAGATCCACATGATGTGTGGGGATCCAGATTAGAGATGATAGCAGGAAACATAGAAGGGGTTATATGCATATCTGTTGTTTTGAGAAGATATTGGGAAGCTAAACAAGGTATTAAGAGATAGGAAAATTTTCTTAAACAAAAAGAATGCTGAAGTTTCATGGAATATATATTCTCCTATATGGCAGTGAATACTGGGCAATTTACTCAGAGATGAAGATGAGACTTAAGGCAACAGATGCTGAAAATACTATGAACAGAACATATGAGCAATGAGGAAATTTTAAGGGAAATGGAAACAAAAAGGACACTCATATTTAGAATCAGAAAAAGAAAAGTTGAAATTCCAAGGATAAATGAGGAAAGAGGGCTTGGAAAATTTAACACTCACCAGAAAGTAAGAGGGAAACAATGAATAACAACAATGTAAATGAATGGCAGAGTGGTGACTGGGACAGTCCTGAAGGGACATGGTACATTAAGGCAGATGATGATGTATACACAGACTGTTTATTTTATTCTTTGAAAGTAATGCCACAGTATGTTGTATATCATTCCTAATCATTTGCAGTTTTTGATGATGTACAACAGTGCTTCTCAAAGTGGTGGTCCATGGGCTGGTGCTGGCATGCGAATCATCAGCTATTGTTATGTGGCCAGTTTCCAGGCTATGCTAAGGAATTATTTGTAAAGATTAAGGGTATATCATTTTTGTGTTGGTGTTAATAAACTGCTTATTTTTTTATTACTTTTTATATGTTTTGATACTGAATTATTTTTTTGTAAAATAAATGGAAGATAAAAAATAGTCAATTTTTATATATATTGTTTCTGATATAAATTAACATTACCAGAAAATATTACAGGTACGTGACACATTGAGAAAAAAAATTCCAGTCCACCATATTAGATAGTTTGAGAAGCACTGATGTACAACATCTCCTTATACTCCTGGTTTTATAATATTTACTTGAAATAAACGACTACTACAAGCTAAATACTCATTTAGCATTCTTAATTTGCCTGCAACTACTTTAATTGAATCATATTGTGCATTCAAAATAAAATGAAATAGCATGTGACATGTAATACATTTAAACTATTTTTCTTTAACTAAAAATTGAAATTTATTTCGTTTGTGTTCAATAAGTTTCAGAATTTAATAAAACAAAAATAAATAAAAATGGTCAGACCTACCTGCAACAGAATAAAATTAAAAATATCATCTGAAATGCAATGTAATTTAATTCAACTCATGTTAGTAAAGTCCATTTTTGTCTCTTATTTAAGAAAATGACAAACTTTCCTGAGGATCTAAAAAAAATGTTGGATTTGGCTATAGTCAGGAAAACTAAACTGTGGTCTTATGTAAAATGAATTTAGAAAACGAGCCTCTAATTTATTTTTGAATATATGATTCTTTTAATATACAAAAGTGGGTTCATGTCAGTTTAATTCAAGAATTTTACATGTGATGTAAGGGAGATAAATCAATGTTTGGTATGTAGAAATAATTTGTAATGTTGCCTAGACAGTGCCAAGGTTTTATTAATAGACCACCAAAATACCTCTATGAACCCCTAGTTTTGTCTGAACTAGAGTCAACAAGGATCTTTGCATATTGAACTACTTGAAGATTAATCATCTTTAGCCATATACAAGTCAACATCTTGCTTGTTTATTTAAATTTCCTCTTTTTTTTTCATTATATGCAAACAAAACTAGTAATCTTATAAGAGACATACATTTGTTTTCCTATAGATATAAATATTTTGAATTTGGTTGTCAAGATCATTAATGTTAAAAAAAGTTATATTTTCAAAAGGGTTTTAAGGATATCAAATTAAAATATGTTCTGTTAATTTCAAAAAATAACTTTGAAATGTTAAAATTATTTTAAAAACAAACAATTCAGGTTGCATACTTATTTTGTTTTAATTTTTTTAAAGATTAAAATTTCTTTTCTATAAATAATGAGAAGTAGAGTTCAACTTAAGTTTTAAATTACTGGCTATCATCCCACTCAACTCACAATTTATGACACACCACCAAAAGGGCTTATGGCCACATCACGTTTAAACTCTGACTCCAATATGATAACTGAAGCAATGTTGAGCCTGGTCAGTACCTAGATGGGTGACTGTTTGGGAATACCAGGTGTTGTAGACTTGGATGTGCAGGTGGTGTAATGGATAATGGCTTGGAATTGTTAATCAGGGTGCTGAGTTTCAGTTCCTGTTGGGTTTGTTATATTTACTTATGTGCAAATATCCTTGGGAAAGTTATAACTCCAGCTATTCTCCCCTTAGCTATGGGTTAATTAGTAAGGCTTTATCCATTACACCACCTGCATATCCAAGCTTACAGTACTTGGTATTTCCAAGTGGTCACCCATCTAGGTACTGACCAGGCTCAACGTTGGTTAACTTCAGTGATTGTACAGGAACCGGTGTTTCAAGATGATGTGACCATAAACCCAGATCAGGTTGGGAACTTTCAGCATCACATCATGTCATAACCCTTATGTAATAAAAAAGTTAATTGATCATAAAACTAGTTTTAATTCATCATCACAAATGCATTTATTTGTCTATATTTCTGAGATGATGTATTATGATTATTTGCATTATTTACATTATTCAGACTGTTATCCTCATCTTCATTGCCATATTCACAACGTTTTGGTCATTGTACGCTCTGGCCTTCTTCAGGTGATTGAACCGAACCCTTTATTTCATCCACTGGCATGGCATGTAGAACTAGAACACTGTACACTGGAGGATGAAGTAAAGGGTTCAGTTCAAAATTCCAATCACCTGAATAAGGGTTTAGTGTACAACGGTCGAAACTTGTGAATATGGCAAGATGAGGATAACAGTCTGAATAACGTAAATAATGCAAGAAATGCATGTTTGTTTTGGAGGAAAATGTTTTGAAAATGTAATTGAGTGTGCAGTTTTCTGGAGCTGGTCTTAAAAAAAATTAATTCAATTATAATGAATGAATGAATGTTATAATGGATGAATGCTTGATAAAGTATTTTCAGAAAATGTTCTAATCTGAAATTGTAATTGAGCGTGCAGTTCTCTGAAGCTGGTCTTAAAAAAAATTTGGTAATAAAAATTATAGAAATATCATCTTTAAAAAAATATATATCAAATAGACGGAAATTGAAGCAAGACAATTATGGAAATACTGATGACAAACATAACAGAAATTAAAAGTGTAGGAATTTTTGCAAGTTGTTGTGTCCATGAAAAATAAATAAAAATTAATTATAGTGTCAAAAATAATTATAAAATAATTATAACAATTATCATTAATTCACTCATTCTAAATCAACAAGAATCAGTTCCACTTTTCTCTGCTACACACACAAACATGTGACATTCTCACTATTGGACAAGCAATTCCCATGGACAGGTCATTAACACATGCATCAATGAAAATTTCATTTTTTTCTTTTCATGTCATTATAGTAACATTTATCTTTTAACATGTAACAAAAATTCAAGGTAAGAAAACCCCAGACACTTCTTGTATTTTTCCAAATAAATTATCTGGACACTCATTACACACATCTATATATATATAAAAAAAAATAAATGAGAAAAACTGTATACACTTTACTTATCCTTTATCTTATCCTTCTGTCAGATACTGATCCATATTAGATCTACATTTGACCCCAAACTCACAATTTTACTTAGTATTACTGTCTCTCATTGCTTCAACACCACATAACCAGATGATAAATAATACTCATTTTGTTGTTTCCACATCTTGCTGTTTCTACTTTTTACAAGTACATTTGTATATATAATTGTTATAATTATTATTATAATTATTTTGACACTATAATTAATTTTTATTTATTTTTTTTATGAACATGACAGAAGCTATTATAATATTGCATTTTATTACAAATGAAGAAAAATTAATGTAAGAAAATTTGGTCTTAAAAATTTAGTTATAACTTTAATGCACTCAGTAATACTGGTTATGAGAAATGGATTTTGGAATCTATGACTTTAACAAGAGGCATGGTGGAATAATGGATAGCAGCTTGGATTGAGGAATCAAAGAGTCAAGTTTGAATTCCAGTCGAATCCATTATTCATTTACGTGCTAATACCTTTGGGAGAGGTATGAATCCTCTTTGTGGTTAATTTAGTTTGCCAGTCATTTGCGATAACTGAAATTGATTAAGGTGCATGCTTTCAATCAACAAACCTCTTCCTTCTCCTCTAATTCTCGTTTGTCTGTACAACATCACACCACCAAAGTTTTCCTTATCCCCTCACAGACTCGCTATTTATGCCTGTGTTGGGGGGGGATCTAATATTTGCATATGAGACTCAATTCTCATTTGTGTGAGACTTCCTATTTTATAAATTCAAACTGGTTTGAATTCCTAGTTTTTTTCATTGTACATCTGCACACGAGATAGGAATTTTGCAATAATCCATTTCACTTTTAATGGCGGTCGTGGTCTTTCAACTCAACAAGACCTGACACGCCAAGCAAATTTGCTTTGTGAGAGGTGGGTCTTCTTATTCCTCACACTTCCCCCAGATCTCATGATCACACAAATGACAGTGGGGAGGTGAACACTTTCAATAAACACTCCTTCGTAGAGGTGGAGGGATGCTTCCGGTGGCAATACTACCACGTCTATGTCCTGTGGGTCCTTGACATTTCCGGTCTCATCATGACCTTCCTTGTTGTCTGAATCTGTACTCTGTGATACAGGGGGCAGACCATCTGACTGCATTGTGCAAAGCATTGTTGTCTCTGAATCATTATCAGATGATGTATCTTTGCTGTGATGCTCTTCTTCTGAGGCAGTTAACTCGTGTCGCGAGCGAAGGTTCTTCACATGGTGTGGCACACCATTGATCCAGACTCTTTGGGAGCTTATAACTCCATCGATGCATCCTCTGCTAAATCTAGTGGTACAATGTCCATTTGGGGGCTTGACCCATGCAAGATCACCAATTTTATATGGTTCTTTGGTATTCTTCAGAATATTTGGCATTACTTGGTCTATCCCATTTATCCGCTGTCTGTATGTATATATCCTGTTGGCTGGCACAGTTGATGGTGTTACATCATCTTTGGGCGTGTTATTGTACCAAAGTTAGAAAATGACTGCCATTGTGATGTGTTATGTCCATGCCCAGTCGTCACCAGTTTTTGTCTACCCCAAGCTTGCCCTTGTTCCACTGAACTGGGGCAGGGTCCACTGCACAGCATTCCTTGCAACCTCATACAGCCGACCTGTCACTTTTGTCACTGCAGGACATACTTTCTGGATGAAGTAAATCAAATGTCGAATGCCAGGATGACCACTCTTGCTTTACATGGCTCAGATTTGTTTAATGGTCAGCCGGCTTTTAAGGGCCACACACGTCAGTGGCTCTGATCCCTGTTTCAACATTCTAGTCAACTTATTGGCCAGTTTCCTTCATGACATAGTCAGTTTGATGTCAACTACCAAACTATATTTTTTGATTAGCTGCTGTAGGTTAGCCAGTCTCCTGCCCACTAGCATTTTGCTCGCAGCTTTCATCCTCACTCAGGTCTTACCTGTCAGGATATTCTGTAGCCATTGGTACACGCATACTGAGTCCGTGTATAGGTTTACCACTTTGGCTACCACTGTAATGTCAGATTTATACCTTTCAATGTGGCATCCAATTCGGCCAGGTTTATATGTTGTGCGTTATTTCTTGGTCGAAGCCAGCATGCATCTTCTAGTATAACTCCATGGTTTTCCAGCACCACACCGATTATCAGGGAGCTTGCATTAAGCCATGAGTTGACTTCTTCTTCAGTCATGCACCAATCTCCCTGAATGGGGTCGTCTTGGTGCACTCTAGTCAGTGTTTCAACAATCATCTGCATAAGTTGAGCATCTTTTATAGTGTCATACCATCCATTTGTTATCATGCTCTCTTGTCTTTTTATCATTCCTGTGGCTGCACAGAGCCACCTGTAGGTGGGAAAGTGCCCCACCAACTTCCCACATACGGAAAATACTGTGCTTTGTGTTAGTGTAGCAGGGAGTTCCAGAACTGAGCTCACTTACACTGCAATGTGTTGTGCTCCCGCCAGACTTTAAGCTCAAGCACAACAGCCCTATCCTTTAATTGAATAGGGTCTTGGCTAGACAAGCTGAAGGATTCTAATCTGTGCCTGACTTTATTTACTGAAAGTATTTTTTTGTTTACATATATGTTGTTGACATACTGTACTACTACTGATGCGGCATTCACCCTGGGCAGATTGAGCCGGCTTCTTCCTGTTATGAGAAGAAGATTCTTGGGATAAATTACAGAAGTAGGGTACCCAGGCCTACTCGTTGTTGACATATGCCGATGCAGTTCTTTTCATCAGCTCATCCTGATCTAGCACTGTCTTAATGATTGATTTCATAATTAGGGGAGCCACATTAAGGTCAAACCCCAGATGTGTCAAGCAATACCTACTTTGATAATAACCATTTGGAAAGGCCATAACATTTTGTGGATTCATATTTGAAGATACATTTTTTTGCAGGTCAAGCAGAGCCACATTGGCTCCTTGCTGCCGCCATTCCCTCATTTAGTCATGGACTACAGGGAGATAAGCACACACATCTGCATTTTCTGTAAAGGCATCTACATACTGATTTATCTCCCTGTAGTCCATCACTGGCTGTACCTTAGCCTTGGTGGCTTGTGCAATGGCCATCAAGGAGATTAATCCTCTAGGGGGCCCCAATCATTCTTGCGGATATGGTATCAGCCAGCCATTCGCAATCCATGTCTCTAGTTTGCTCTCGTAGACAGCTCTGTTTTTATTTGACACCGTATATTCTGCAATATTCCTTCTTCCTAGGACACATGGCACAGTGGACAAAGGCGTTAGTTAGGACACGGCACACTGGATAAAGGCATTAGTTAGATCCAGTGACAGGACCCAAAGAATGAGAGTTCAATACCTGGTTAAGGCGTTGGAGAACTTGGAGAGGGGAATTAACAGGAGATAACTGATAACTGATATCCATTAGACATGGCACATGGAAATAGAACAGTCTACCCCAGTGAGCAAAATAAAGGGTTCAGTTTGACATTCCAACTACCTGAAGAAGGCTGGAGCATACAACTACCGAAACGTTGTAATAAATATGGGGACAAAGATGAGGAAAATAGTCCGAATAATGTAAATAGTGAAAAAAACAAAACATTATGAAAGTATAAAATGTATACCAGCAATACATTTTTTATATAAAAAGAAAATTACCAACTATACATTTTTAAAGTACAATTACCAACAATACATTTTGTAGTAAAACGTCTAGCAATACATTTTATCTGTGGTTGAAGCCATAAAATTGTGTTCAACTTATTTAGATTTTGGCATTTTTGCACCCATAGAGATTGATATGCCTCTAAAAAAATCAATCAGTCCTAAGTACCCAGAGTTATACAAGGGGAATAACTCGCGCTGACTGAAATGAAACCTGTATTCTGGAATGCATAGCAGAATAAGAGAATTATTTTTTCCCAGCATACATCAGTAATCTCCTCCATTTTGCCGGTGGCCACTTCCTTACGCGGGTGTTGGTCCTTATAATGGCAACTTTTGTGCCGCCCTTGATTCAGGACAATGAGGATGGATGGGGTCCATCAGAAATTCCAGCAAAATTTAGAGAACTACCTTATCAACCATTTTCCAAGGGAGACCGTTTAGGAAAGGTATTTGCATGAAACTAAATTGACTTTTTCCGCTCCTGAACAATCAGCAGGAGTACCGGTTGTCGCCATGATGAAAAAGAAAAAGCAGCATGGCGTGCTTTTCGTGAATATATTGCTAAATATTTTCTTAGAAAAGAAGAAATTTATTCCGATAGTTTAAGGCAATTCTATTAGAATTTTTGCGTTTTTATTTATACAGCAATCGAAAAATATAATCGCATGTCTTAATGTTTTAAACCGATTTATCTGCAATTCTTTAAGTTTTTTACTATGTCACGCGATAAATGACTAGAGAGTTTTCTCCGTATTGAAATAATTACCATTTATATATTTGTCTTAGCTGCAATGAATTAATTTGAGATATATTCTCTACTGAATATGTAAAGGTCACTTGTGATTGTTTTTAAACTGATTAGGCACAACGTTTAAGAAATATGCTGATTGAAATATACAATAAACATAAGGTTAACTTTTCTGAAGGATCAAGCACATGTTTAGTTAATTTTCGGTTTTCGAATATAAATTACTTTTGCAAAGTCACAGTGGTTTTCAGAAGATGTCATCTTTGTTTATATTTTAATGCAGTGCTCAATTATTAAATATGTTATTGTTAATAAATGAAGTAATATTTTTCATATTATTTTGCTTAAAAATGAAGACGATTGCGATCCTACTTCTTGCATATGTTTCCGTTTTTTTTTTCTTATATCCTCAAATCTTAAACGTCCCAACAGAAAAGACATTAAAAATAAAGTCACAATGTTTTCATATCTTGAAATAACTTTTTATCGATTTGAAAAAAAAAATGATGTGGATTTGATTAAGTATTATTCAGTTATTGTAAGTAGCCACAAAATAAATTCAATCTGATGTTAGGTTATGAAAGAAACGATTTTATATTTTCCATTTGGTAAGTAATAAAATTTACCACTTACCAAATGGAAAATATAAAAATAAAATCGTTTCTTAAAATTAAGTTACTGTTAGTTTACCAGGTAAACTTTATGCTTTTATTTTTTTCTAAAGAAATAATCCTATTTTGTTTTGACGTTCTAAAAACTAAAGTTTTTTTTTTTAAGATTTTGTAGTTTCCATGGTTCATTGGAAAACATTTGGCTTTGGTTTAAGTTGGATTATTACTTAAGTTCTTTATTGAAGACGACAAACCTACTTTTAAAATTCACTTCGCAGGTATAACTAAATTTTTGGAAGGAATTTTTATACCTTTCTTAATTTGATTGATTCTACAATGCCTAACTTTAACAAAAAATATTTCATTTTCAAGCTCTTTGTCATCTTTAATTACTATTTCAAGTTTTAATTCCTTAGAAATGCCTGATGTTTGGTAAATTATCTTTTTTTATATTATTTAGATTTTTTTTCTCTTTACGACGTGATCACAAAGAAAGATCAAGACATTTCTTAAGGATTTTTTTCAGTTGTACGTAAAAGATCATATTTATTTTTAAACGGTTACAGTAGTCCATAAAAAGTGAAAGCAAAGCACTTATTCAATTATCCTGATATCTGGCATATGCTCGTTTCATCCTGCCGGTTTTGCAGGTTGAATTTTTAACTAAATTGTCACCTGTATTTATTCTTTTGTCTTCTTCCTAACGCCAAGGACAAAAAGCAATTCTAGAAATCTCAATGGGGGGGAAAAAGAAATCTTTACATAAGTTTGCAGAGAAAAATTTGTTCCTTCCATCAATCCATAATTTCTTCTGTCACACTGTCACCTCTTTTTGAGCAGACGAACAGCAGGTGCTTTACACAAACATCTTTTGCTAGCTAAAATTTTCAACATTCTTGCAAAAAAAAAAAAAAAAACAGAAATAAACTTTTAATTGGTCAAGGGTCATATATTTTCTAAAGATTCTCATTAATGTAGGTCGTACCTCAACTGTCAACTGCTTCTCTAAAAAATGAGCATACCATGATGAAAACTAAAAGAAATGACCCAAACTTAATAAAAACAAAGTTTTTTAGCGTCAAACAAAATCTTTATTATTAAGAGAAAAGACCAAAGGATTTTTTGATATATGGAGAAAAATATACTGAAAAAACAAACAAAAATCCTAATATGCGATTATGCTGTTTTAATGTCAATGTCGGACGTTTCGGTCTAATAGACCATCTTCAGGACATATTCATAAAACATAATTAACATAGACCATATACAATTCAACATGAAAAAGACGATGGACATAAAAGCAATACCAATCCAAACAGATAACTGAAATCTTTTATAAGATATAGATATATAGATAGATATAGATATATAGATAGATATATATATCTATATATCTATCTATATATCTATATCTATATATCTATATCTATCTATATATCTATATATCTATCTATATATCTATCTATATATCTATATCTATCTATATATCTATATCTATCTATATATCTATATCTATCTATATATCTATATATCTATCTATATATCTATATATCTATCTATATATCTATATCTATCTATATATATATATAATTTTTTTTTTTTTTTTTTTTGAAAACAAAGGCAATATAACCTTGGTGAAAAACATTCATTTGGAAACGTTGAATAATAATTGGATTTTCGTGAAACTTTTAAGACTTATTCACAAATTAATTAGATTATATTAGAGATGTTTCTTTAGAAAATTTTAGCAAAAAATTTTTTTACATTTGTTACCACCACTTAATTTTATGAAATTCGAGAAATTAAATTTTGTATCTCTTACGTCTTTGTTTATATTAGCTATAAGCAGAACTCCTTGGAGAATAATTTTTTTTTTTTTTTTTTTTTAATGAATAATGCATTTTTACAAGAATTGTTTAAATTTTTAAAAACTTTTCATTGAAATAATTTATAGTTTTAAATCTTTCAAATTTCTGATTTAATTTGTACCAGTTAAGTGATATTGTTATTAAAAACTATATTTACTAATCATATGTGGAAAGGCTTGCTACAATTCATCAACCTCCAATATTTTAAAAAGAATTTTGAAATTTTTTGTCTGTGTATATAAATGTGCCATTTTTTGTAAATATGGACAGCCATATATATCATCAGAAAATAAGAGCAATAACTATAGTAAGTTTCAAGCCAAATTACCTAAAATTCAATAAAACATTAAATTATATAGAATAATTTCCTAAATTTTTAGGATTACTGGGTAATTAAAAATTATAGAAAAGGGTGCTCACATTATATTCCTCAAGTAATTTTTACAGATATGTCTACCGTAGAAAAATTTAAACTTCTGCCTGTCAGTCAACCTGTCAACATCTTAAACTACCTTAGTGTTAAAAATGCATTTCTGTAATACTTTAAACTAAAAGTAATATTCCAAATCACATTAACCTTTAAATCTGATAATATGGTTCAAATAAGGCTTCAGAAAAGTACGTTTTATTTTTGAAAGATTTTTTTTAATAAAGATAATTACATTGTGATGACAGATGGGTAAAAATCAACAATGTTTAGTGATTTCAAAACACTCCTTCCAGTCAATTTAAATTTGTTTTGAAATACAGCAAAGTATTTTGCTTATTGGAAATATTAAATTTAATCTATTTGCTTGGAATTAAAACTAAAAAGCTTCAAAGCTTTTTTCATTTCTAAAAATTCATTTTCAACCTTATGTATTGCATTTTTGTGGAGATACCTACATTGAGTAAATTATTTCTTTTCTTTCTTTCTTTCTTTTTTTTTTTTTTTTTTTTTTTTTTTGCATTTAAAAATTTTGAAAAATTGTTGAAGCAAATATTTACCTTAAAGATAAAAATTTAATTTTGCTTAACATGTATTGATTTATTATTCTTTAAGAAAATGTAAAGTTCAATAGCTATTGTTGTTGTTTGTACTGTCAGCTCATTGTATGCTTAGACTATTTTGTTTTCTTCTTTCTCAATTTCTATCCATAACTTATAAATTTGATTGGCTTTGGTTCAAGTTAAACTATAACAGTGTTGGTGAAAGTATGTGATACATGCACATCTAAAGTTCACAAATCTCCAGTGCTTGAACTTTACATACTTTCCTGCTAAATTTGATTGATTCATAATGTAAAGTCTTTAGTGATCTTTCTGAGAATGATTTTTACATCACCTATTAGACTTTCAGTAGGAGACCAAATCTAGTATTTCACTCTTAGTGAGGATATCAATTCCACAAGTATTAAAAAACTAGAATTTTTGGAACATACATATGTTGAAATCATTGCTAACATTTTTTGTCAAGATTTACAAACTGTATGTTTTGTCCAATGTTACAAACCTATTCTTTTAAATTTTCATTCAATTTTAAAAAATGAATGAAAATTTATTGTACTAAGCTCTGCACCTTAGTAAAACTGTAATTTGTACCCCCTTACTTGTTTGCACCTTGTCCCCAAAATTTGGTTTCAAATGATCAATGTATCTCTATTTTAGAGGGTGTGACAGATGGACGGACTAACGGATGTTGCAGAATTTTATATATAAGGTCTAATCATCTGAAGTTAATTTTTAATGCTTTTATGAACTGAAGTGATTGTACTTTACAAAGTTAATCAGTAATAATCATGTACTGTTGCAGTATGTATGTTGAAATATTGACAACTTGTAATCCTTATTTCAAGAACTCTATTAACTCTATTAATTTTGGTTGATTAAAAAAAAGTTATCAATTCTTGATATATCACTGAGCAATCCTATGTTCATCTATTCTTAGGGTCCCTAAACATTTTTGATATCAGGCATATGCAAAGATATTATTTTTTATTTAAGGGTAGAAATTTGTTTGCCCTCCTTCCTTAATTATTGGTTCTCAATAAGATTCATTCTAGCTTTTACATTTTCTTATTTGTTTTTCTATTTCAATTTCTCTTGTAATAGACATGTTTGCTAATGATAATGATAAAAACTCAAGTTATAAACACTTCAAAAATAAATTAAGTTTAAATATAAATTTATTCATTTTTTTTCTCTTCATTGTCTTCTGGTATATGCAAGTACATAATGATAAATCTTGATTCATTTTAGGTATAGTGAATTGCATCATTATTTAGTATTATGTGATGTTATGTAATCTATTTCTATATCTCTATTTTCCCCTACACCAAGGTCTCTGATTGGACAGGAGCAACTTACCAAGACAAACGTTACTTGGGTAAGTGAAACTGCATTTTTCTTTCTATTGGGCTAATGTAAAAGTACTTTGTACTATCTTTTGCACAGTATTAAAGAAATCATAGTGTTTTTGAAGTTTACTTAATTCATTTTTTGTGTTCAATCAGCAAGGAAATAACTTATATCCCACATTAACATTGGAAACTTATGTTCCACATTAAGTAATGGAAACTATTAGCATTTAAATATTTGTTTTTCTTGATTAACACTGTCAATTTTGGATAAGGTAATTGCTGGCTATAAGAAATGAGTTTTTCAAGAATCCTAAATGAAGAAAATCCTGGCTAGATCCAGAACCATAGCATCTCAACATCAACTGAGAAGGGGGGGTGTTGAGTTGTGCATTTGGTGGGATACAAAAATTGTTGAAACTTAAACAAAGTAACAAATTGTTGTTCTTCATTGAGCAACTGATTTCTTTAAATAAATTCTTTGGAAGAGAATTTTTTTTTTTTTTTGACCTGCTGCATGACACTTAGTTGCAATTGTAACTCATCAGATGATTATGGAGTCAAGATAGTGCTTTCACATACACCAAATTTGTCAGTATAACATTTGTTTCGCTTCAGTTTAATTTTTCTCTTTATTTTAAAAAATTGAATTAATATTTGTTTCATGATTTTTTAGTTGTTTTAAAACGATCCAGAAAACTAAGCTCATAACCAGTTTGTATCATTTTGCTTTTTTTTTTAATCGAAGTAACCTTTTCAATGCTGCAGTAAATATCTAATTCCATTAACAGAATTTTTTGTTTTTTTTTTGTTAGCTTAAAGTTGAAGAAATGTTATTTGGAATAATTCAGAAAAGATTCTGCACTTTTAGGTTAAGCAGACTACCAATGTCAATTTTTTTTTTTTTTTTTTGTTTAATTTCAGGAAAGTATAATTCAGCCTTTGGGACTGGAGGTAACCAATATGCCTATTTCCATGATGAAGATGAGAGCACGTTCCAGCTGGTTGATACATCCAGAGGCCAGAAACCAATTTACCAAAGAGGGAGGCGCATGTTCCAACAGGTTCATAAAGCATTGTCTCCCACATTTTTTTTTTTTTTTTTTAAAGAAATTTAGAAAAAAAATTTTTTTTTTGTGTGTGTGTGTGTGTGTATATATATATATATATATATATATATATATATATATAAAATATGTGTGTGTATGCAATAGTTAGGCTTTTCTCTTTACTTGGTCAACAAACTCAGAGCTGAAGAAATTAAATTTGTTTTATTAGGAATTAGCAAATATAAAAGTTCCCTTTGGATTTGTATTCTTCAGACTTTACCATCTAACAATGGGAACTTGATAATTATCAGTTCACAATTTTTTTTTTTTTTTTATTATTGATATTTAGGTTTTGAGGTCTGAGGAGTTGCTAGAATAGTTTTGCTTAACCCAAATGCCATTTCACATATTCGCTCCACAGTTAAACATAATGTCTATGCTGGAAGTTTGTACATCACTTATGGTTGAGTCTGTTAGGCAATGTTTGCATTCTGCACACATGGATTTCCTTTGGAGTTTTCTTCTGTGAGAACAGGAACTTAATGATGGTCTTAAGTTCAACACTTAAAAATTCTTCATTTTCTAGTAACATGCTTGTATCACTGATCTGCTATAAATTAAAAACAAGTAATCAAAATGAAGCTGCAAATTGCCACTTTACAATATAAAAGGTTTTTTTCCAGCTACAATGAAAACATTTGGATTTTGGGAAGTAGGTTAGACTGTAAACTTTTCAGCACCGTTTCATATGCTACATGTAACTGCTACCGTAATTAACTTATTGACTATCACACTTCAGTAACAGAAATTACCATCATCTATAGTTAATGGATTAAGTTTAAGTAAAATTATTTGCAATGTGCATATAAAAGCATAATTTGTGAGTCATACTTAACCTGTTGGTTAAATTACTTCGTTTTGCTCTTTAAAATTTCCTAGTTGGCATTTTAACAACATCAGAAAATGATTTTTAAATCAATAGATTTAAATTTTCTTAGAAAATAAATTCTTTTATTTCTGCAATGAATTAAACAATATTTACATTAAGTACACAATATACTTGTTATTTTACAGATAGAAAGCCTAAGAAAATATTTGTTTTATTTGCTAAATTTTGTTTAAACAGACTTGATGTTTTGTATTAAGATTTAGCACTGGAAATATTGATATTCACAAAGAAAAAGATACATACATCAAATTAGTTTGCATCATTTTAACTAATGTAACTAAATTATGGTTTCTGCAGTAATTTTTCTTTTAGTCTCCTTGTAGTTAATTACTATGTTTAGCTTAGTTCCTGTGTATGGCTACATGTCTAGGGCAGCCAGTGATGAAATTTTTGTTTTATATCTGCACAAACATAAAATTTCAGTGTTTTACTTATAACGTTTTAGTTGTCTACTTGTTTGATTAAATGACATTGAGATCTTGATGATAAAGTGTACAGTGAATTTGAAAATTAGATTCCCTCTGAAAAGTTTAATTTTTTTTTTTTTTTTTTTTAAACAACTTTGTTTTTAAACAACTTTGTTTTACATTTAGAATAAACAGCGTAGAGAAAGAGAAAGACGGCAACAACAAGCTGCAGCCAACATGCAAGTGTTATCCAAAACGCAGAAGAGTCGTGAAAGGTAAAAAAAAAGAAAAATCACCCCCCCTCCACATCTTGCTTGCAATCCTTGTTTTTCCTTTTATTATATTTTAAATATAAGAATTTAACAGAACATTACCACATAATCACAATGACTATACATAACCTCTACCAGTCAGTCCTGGCTTATCAGTATGTTTGAGTAAATACATTATACTAAGCAAAAGGAGAATTTTATTAGATTAGTTTTTTGGTTATTGTATAGCATCGTTGTGACCTCAAACCAGCCTTAGCTCTGTTGGTGGTAGTCACATGATACTCATTTTATTGATGGAAATATTTAGTAAGAGTGACAGTAATGATATATGTATACCTGTAAAGGCATTTTCATTCATTTTTAAATTAAATTTATTTAATAACTAAATTATTTTGTACAAGCTATCATATAATAAACAAAACATTTGCTAATTTGATAGTACAAATTATAATTTCACTTTTCTTTCAGAGATCGACAGAGGCAGTTACGTAAATGGCAGAAGCAATTTGGAAAGAGACTGCAAGAAAATAAACAGAAGGTTATTGTTTGCTTAATGTGTTCAAATGATTGAAAATTTGAATTCTTTTATGATAGTCTCCATAAATATGTTAATGTTTCAATTACTGAGACAAATAAAATTGTAATATTAAAATAACTGAAGAGAAAAAAAAAAAACAGTTCTGTTTAAATACTGTCCATGGCATATGGTAAATATAACGATTTAAATGTTCAACAAATATAATCTGTCTGTTGATGTAATTAAGCTTATCTCGGAGATAATATTACTAATTTCCAATTTGTTTACTATTTCAAGTCATGTTTTTATATTAGTTCTCTTTTTCTTATTAATTCCTGAAAGGCTCCTGTTAAAAACCGTGATGCTTCTGTACAAGTGCGTGAAACCTGGCAGGTGGTGGAAGATATGGACTTCCCTCGTTTAAGCAAACTCAGCCTTCCTGGTGTTGATCCTCCTGAAGACCTGTAAGTATAAAATAGTCATTATTTTTATCTGACCTTTTGTATACTCACCTTTCTTTTTATATGCCGTGTCCCTTCAGGATGTAGGCGATCATGGCTTTCCAGTTCCCCTTATCCCTTGTAACTCTCAATAAGTTTCCTTCCTTCTGTCACCTCCCCCAGACCACATTCCGTCATCCACTTACTTAAGACTGCAAAGTATGTCATGTGTTGCTTTCCTTTGTCTCTCTTTCCCTCTATTCGACCTATGTGTTTCAGATTCTTCAGGCTCTCCTTTATCATTACGTGTCCCATAAACTTCAGCTGCCTCTTCCTGATATTAAGTATAAGCCTCCTGTTTGTTTGCATCCCCTCCAAGACCTCATCATTGCTCACATGTAGGTTCATGATATCCTTAGCATCCTTCTGTAGAACCACATCTCCATTGCCTCGAGTCTCTTCTTTATCTTTGAGGAGACTGCCCAACATTTGCTGCCGTAAAGGAGGACAGATGTCACTCAATACTCTTTTCTTTGTTACCAAAGAAATCCTCCTGTCTTGCAATACTCTGCCCAGATTCTGGATTTTTTTTTCTCATAAATTTAAAAATTTTTTAGGGAAATGACACTCACTATGTCTGATTTCTTAATGGAAGTGACTTCTTGATGTTAACATCTTGGGGAGGGAATTTCAGTGTGAAACACAACTGGAAAGTGCCCGAAAACTATGCCACAAGTTAAACAAAACCTTGTAACTGAAGTTGAATAGATGAAACTGTTCAGAAGCTGTCAATAGTTGTGCTAGCATGAAGTCACAAATCAAATCATTGTTACCAAAGATGGTTGAGTGTAGTGGCCATGTTCAAACTGTTGATCATGACAGATTATGAGCTCTCTCTCTCTTTCTCTGCCAGAATCTGTAACTAAGGTCTGCTCAGCATAGTTGCAATATAAACCACAGGTGGGATCTGTGGGTGTTGAACAACACAAATGTACCTGAGCAGGTGTCTAAAAGGGGATTGGCTAGCCAACCTAGCAAATGACTACTCAGAAATAAGTAGCCAGCCATTTAAAGCATTCACTTTCACACTCATATTCTCTTTTGCTATTTGAATTTCATCAATGGTAAAAATATATATTGAATATTATTAATTTACAAACTTTAATGAAAAATGTTTCATATATGAAGATGCTGTATTTTTCTTAGAAAGTATTTTGAAATAGTTTTTACATTTATAAACATTTTTAGAATTTAAAAAATTAGAAAGTTTCTCTTTATTAGAAACTTAAAATTCTTTAAGCCTTTTTTTCCTCCTCTGTTAGGTTACTGTGTGGTAAGATGGAATTCTATGACAAGTCTTATGACCGTGTCACCACCAAAAATGAAAGGCCACTGAAGAGAATTAACCGTATCTTCCATAAAGTCACCACCACTGATGACCCTATTATTAGACAGGTGAGTATAGTGTATTTTAGCACCTAATATTTACAATCTTGATAAAAATCTTTTTGCAACAAGGCTAAAACAGATTATAAAAATTAATGTCTTGTTAAGGAGATGAAAGAATACAATAGACAAAAGTAGGTGGATATTAAAAATCAGTTTGGTTTTAATTTGAAAAATAAGATTATTAAATGAAAGTTTTTTTTTTTTTTTTTTTTTTTCTCTCTCTCACTTTTTGTGAAATATGTGAAAACTTAAACCGGCTTTTCTATTGAGTATTTGTAAACATTTTAAACAATGTTAATGTTTGAAAATTTTCATTTCACAATATTTTAGCAGCTTCAGTGTTATTTGGGATTATAAGATTGCATGAGACAAATAACTTTGTAATTTTTATTCAAAATAAAAATAGTCGTATTCAGAAAAGTTTTTATGGGGGAAATCACTAACTGTTGCCTTTAGTTTAAATTTCTTTATCAAATCTATATTGTTTTAGTAACTCCGAGCAGAGTATCATTCTATGAACAGTAATATTTTTGATTAGTTTAATTTATTCAACTTGTTTAATTTTTATATATTTTCATTTATGTGAACTCTTTGAAATTTGCATTTCACTAAAAAGATTGTTGTATAAATGACATTATCTCCCCCATATTGCAAATGGTTTGAAAAGGCTAATTTGTAAAATGATGTTCTGATAAGTTTTTTTTTTTTTTTTTTCTTTGCTTTGATATGCAATAGATTAATAGTGATCCTATAATTTTATTTCTACGGACTGAGCATTAAGTGAAGCTTGTCTTGGTTGTGTCTGGAAAAAAAAAAATTAAAATTAAAGGAAATTTAGTGGATGAACATCTTGCTCTTTCTTCTCTTTAATAACAGCTGACCAAAACACAAGGCAATGTGTTTGCTACGGACTCCATCTTGGCTACCCTAATGTGCTGCACCCGTTCTACGTACAGTTGGGACATTATTGTACAACGTGTTGGCAATAAGCTGTTCTTCGACAAGCGTGATGATTCTGAGTTTGACCTTCTTACTGTCAGTGAAACTGCAAATGAACCTCCCCAAGAAGAAGGAGCAAACAATATAAACTTCCCTCGAAACTTGGCCTTAGAAGCTACCTTCATTAACCACAATTTCTCCCAGCAAGTTCTTAAAATGGTTTGTATAAAATATATACACACACACTTTTTTTTATATAAAATAGTTGCAAATTTCTATTCTGTGTAGACATGATAATTTTCATAAAAATCTATTCTATTTCAATTTCCTATGAATATAACAAAGGAAAGGTTGTAACTACAAATTTCAAATATAAATTTTAAAATTTTGTCCAGTTATGTTTGTCAAAATAAACAAAATAAGTGACACTAGAAAACTACAATTTTCTATCCAAAAATAAAGACTAATTTTGCAAAATAGTAATCTTATGAAAACTTACAAAATACTTTTGATCCTAAAATTTTCTTTAAAATAGCTTTTAAAGTGGAACATTTCTATTTTTAATACAGCACAGTGTTAAAAAGATGATTGGTTAATTATTGTTTTTACTCTTTCTTTATTAGAATAATTTTGTGAATTGAAACCTTACTCTAGAATGAAATCCTATATTCTTGGTTTACACTATGACATTGCAAGAGAACTTGTGATGTTAAGCTCATCATTTTACAGTTGAAGTGGCTACATGTAACCATAAGTTCTGTGTTAGGTTTCTTGTAGCTTCTTGCCTTCCTGTCAGCTATGATCTTAAAAAGTTCAAATGCAATATCAGTTGTCATTTTCTCTCCTTGAATCCTGTTTTATTGACCTTTCTTTCTTTCCCTCTCACTAACCCCAGTCCTGGGAATGGCGATAAACTACATCTGCCAGCAAGGCTACTGATTGGGATATTGGAGATTTTGAGGAACATGGAACTATCTCTTAGTTGCTGTTGTTCCTGGGTCCGTCTTGACCCAGGGTTGTAGCACCTGTTATGGTCCTAGCTGTGGGCAAATAGTGCCCCCCCCCCCCAAAAAAAACATTGTGAAAGTATAAAAATACTAGCAATACATTTTTATATGAAAAAATGACCAACAATACATTTTATCCGTGGTTGAATACATATAACTGTGTTCAAAACATTTAGATTTTGGTATTAAATAACTCTTAGAGGTTGGGAGGCTGCTAAACAAAATCAACCAAACTACCAACATGAAAAATCTTTCATGACATGGATCTATATATCCTACAATTTCTTAAATCAAACTGTATTTCAAAATATAACTTCAACAAAACTACAGCATAAAACACACACATCATCACCTCTATTAATCATGGCCATACAAACATGTATATGCACAAAAGCTGAGTATCATCTACCATGTATTCAATTGTGAAAGCAGAATAACATAACATATTTTTATTACTACCATGCTCCCAAGAAAATTAAATTTCAGCATTAAATTACCCATAAGGAGTTGATATGCCTTTAAACAAACCAATCAATCAATTAATCTCGGTAACCTCTTGCATCCTAGTGGCTTTAATTGCTTTGCTCTGGGTGATACAAAATGATTCAAAAACTAAATGAATAAAAGACAGTTAACTTAGAATACTGCTCTTGTATTAGCTATGACCATTTTGGGGAATATGTAAAATGACAATCATTTCTTGTTTATAGCAGTGACTGTTAATTATGCTTATAACTTTGTTTAAATTTAATCCAATGTTAGAAGGCAAAACATATACATGCAAAAATGTCCTACCTGTGTGTATATGTTTTGCTTTGTTTTCCTCTGTTGAAATTTGTTTTCTGTTTCCAGGGAGAAGAGAAACATGCATTTGATAAACCGAATCCATTTGCTGGGGATGATGAAGAAGCTGTTATAGCTTCAGTTGGATATAGGTGAGTTGGATTTGACTTAGTTTAAGTCCGCAATGAGAAGCAAATACCTCTCCTTCTTGATTTTCCCACCTAAGGATTTAAGTTATTTTCCAAGGATAGACAACCTTTAATGCCGTTAAACCCCCTCACCCCTAGAGTTGTAAAAATTGTCAATTTTTTTTTCTTCTTATCACTTAGGTACCGTAAATTTAATTTGGGAAATGATATTAATTTGATTGTCCGATGTGAGCATGATGCTGTAATGTATGGACCCAATGGTGATTTACAATTCATAAACATCAAAACTCTAAATGAATGGGACTCGAGGGTAAGTTGGCTTTATCTTTTTTTTTTTTTTTCCTTTTGCATATGTGTGTAATATATATATATATATATATATATATATATATAGCAGGTTATCTTTTTAGCATTTTGAAATATTCTATAACCTAGAATATTAATATCTGCTCTTCATTGATGTTACAGTGAAACTTTTTAATTCTTTAGAAAATTTCTTCAGTTTGGAACTTAGGCAAATATATTTAGAATTTCTGATAATCTCAAAAAAAAAAAAAAAGCAACAACTTTTTTTAAAGTAGTTGACATTGTCAAACAAAATGTTTGGTATAACTTTTCCACCTAATAAATGTCAACATTTCCATTTTTGTCTATTTATAAAATGGGGTTAATTTCTTAAAGCAAATGTTTATAAACTGTTTTTGGCTGTTTTGCATAATCCATGTACTCTTTTTCATTTTTATTTACTATGTCATAATTTATAATGCATAATTTTCTTTTTTAGTATGTGTATGTAGGCTAAAGTGAGCAACTTCATATAAAGATAAAATGCATTTCTTTAGGCCTTTTGAAAGCTAGCTTTGTATGTGTGTTTCTTCAAAGTACCACATTTTTACATTTTGTTTGTTTCCCTTTCTTTGACAGTACTGTGGTGGAGTTGATTGGCGCAGCAAACTGGATATACAACGAGGTGCTGTCCTTGCTACAGAGTTGAAAAATAACAGTTGCAAGTTGGCCAAGTGGACAATCTGCTCCCTTTTAGCTGGAAGTGACCAAATCAAATTTGGGTAGGTTGTGTGTCTGCATGTGCATGCATTAGTGTTTTTATTCCATTCAAATATGAAGAGATCTATTTCTTATAGGAAATTTCTGATAAGAATGATATTGTAATTGTTACTTTTACTGAATTTCTCCTATTGATTTTACTTTATAAACAATATATAAAGGCTGAAATAAGTTTTCAACAGTCTCTTAGAATAAAAAATATGAGTTGTGAATTGAAAGGTTGGCTTTGAAAACTTTAAAACTTATTATTCTAATCCCATGACTAAGGATTTGTTTTATACTAATCTTTACTCTATACAATGCCCAAGAGCCATTCAAAGTAGAGGTTTACTGAAAGAGGTTGTATGAGTAGTAAGAGGTAAGAAGTGCAATTTATGAGGGTATATGGGAAAGATAATGATTAAGCTTAGATTAGAAGAGGTTTAAATTGTAGTGGTCAGGAAAGCATCCTCTTGGGTGCCAGTTTTACAATGTAATAGTTTGTCGGAAGAAGCTGTTCAATTTGAACTTTATTCTCACTAAGGAATTATGAAGGGAATGAGGGTGGTTCACCTGTATGTGGCATGGCAGGTCTTAGCCATATGGGTTAGAATTGTTTGAACTAAGGAATGTAGCATATCAAAACATTTTCTATGGAAATAGCTATAGAGTAACAAGAGGCTTGCTACATTTTGCATGTGGGGAAGGTGGGGGTAAGATTAGAGATGACACAGGGCTAGTGTTCTTAAAATTACTGGGATTCCTTTGTAAGAAATAGATGTTCAGAAAAGTTATGTGATTTACTTTTTTTTTTTTTAATATCTATGACAGTAAAGATGCAGATTTAAAGCTGCTAATAAAATAATACTTATTTCATTGTTTCTGGGTCCTAAAGTAAAATTGTTCTGGGATATTGGGCACAGATAACATATCAGACATACCTTTTAATGCATTGAATTTTTTTCTTTTGAGCTATTTAATAGAATAGGAGTTATGCAATTTTGTGTTTCTCTCACTCTCTTCTATAAAATTGTGTATGTGAGAGACACACCAATATGTACTTGCCTCCTAAAGTTTGCTGTAGATAGTTCTTGTGCATTTTTAAATCTTAATTTTTTTTTTTTTTTTAACCCCCACCCCAATTTATCATATAATGCTGTTCTATTATCTGTTGCTATTTGTCTTATCCACTGCATTGTTTGTTTCAGTTATGTGTCCCGGGCCCATTACCGAGATTCTGCTAATCATGTGATTCTGGGGACCCAGCAGTTTAAGCCAACTGAATTTGCCAACCAAATCAATTTGAGTATGGACAATGGCTGGGGAATTTTGCGTTGTATTATTGATACATGCATGAAACTCAAAGAAGGCAAATATCTTATCATGAAGGATCCTAATAAGGTAATATTAAAAAGAAAAAAATGATTGTGTATAATTTTGTCAGATCTTTCTCTAAATACTTACTAATTTGGATTAGTGTGGTATTTTATTGAATTTTCACCAACTAGGAGTCCCAGATAATACTTGAACTTCAAATCAAGTGACAGAAGATTTTTATGCCAATAATTTAAATTCTTGGACTTCTGATTTGAAGTGTCAAAAAATTAGACAACTACCTAATAACATCTTGCTTCTCCCTTCACTTGAATAATGCTGACTAAGATTTGCTTGAATGTTTTGCATATGGATAAATCTCGGACACATTACTGGCTATATTGATGTCTATGACCTGTCTCATATGCTCTGTGAGAGTTTAAACATGGCTGTTACTGTGCATGATGGATAAAGGGTGTAGATGCCCTGCAACAAGGTCTATGTATGTCATATCTGTCAAGATCCTCTCCAGTTTCAGTAGGGGTTCTTTGGCATCCCAAGAGAACAGACCTTTAGGTAATGTCTCTCTTCCATGGTCTGATGGCATTGGACTATTGTCCTGGTAAGGGGCAGTAACTGATACCCTGCTGTTAATAATGGTACTCTAGTGTGTTGACTAAAAAAAAAATGCCTCATTGAATACAGTGTATGCTGTATGGTGGGTTTAAGCACTCCTGGCATTAAAGTGGAGTGTGATTTATATAATGTTCTTCTTTTTATTGGATGGTTACAATCCTTGTCTGTTATTGTTGACACTTGTGAATGTTTGCATTTTTTTTACATGTCACTGATATGTCTAGAGTTGACTTTTTCCAAGCATAGCCTTGCCAAATAAAGAGAATAAAAAGCTAGATGTTTCTATCTTGGAGATCCATCTTTTTGGATTTTGTTAATGTCACAGCTGCACTACTTTGTTTTTTATTTTTTTATTTTTTTTTTTTATTTTTATTTTTTTTTCGGTCCTGCATATGTCATCCAGTTGTATCTACTTTTACGAGTTCATGAATAAATTCTCATAATTTATGAACTGCAAATTGCTATAGACTGTTTTTGACTGAACTATTTCTTATAGTTCATTTATACCAGTCAGTATTGGAAATTTATTCAGCATGAGATCATTAGATGTCTTTGTGATTACTTGAAGTAATGTACCTGTTAATGTTTGAAGTAAAATGGTCAATCATTTTTAATTTTATGTACTTCTAGTGTTAAATTTGCTTCCGAGTAAACGTTTCTATTTTAAAGTTTAAATGACATTCACATATTTAAATTTGTTTGACAATTGGTAACATTTGTTTTTCTTTTATGCAGTCTGTGATCCGTATCTATGATATTCCTGACAACACATTTGAGACTGATGAGGAAGAAGAGGAGGACGATGATGAAGATGATGATGAAGAGGAGGAAGATGATACCGAAGCATAGTCTGTACTACAGTTACCTACTCCCCTCTTTCTCAGGTATATAATGATAACGTGTTCAATGAATCATTTTTATTATTTCTTTAAAATGTGACTGGTTTCAATGATTGTCTTAAGATATTTCAAATTGTCCCACAAAGAAAAGTGATACATTTAAAGATGTTTTTAATAACTTCAATAATTTCAAGTCTTTTATTTCTTCCTTGTATTGTTTTTTATTTCATTTAAACTTTTTTTTTTTCTCTACTTTCAGGAAACTCTTGCCCTGAATCTGAATTTGGACTGAAAGTGTTTATCAAATGATGTGCACCTCGCATTTTCTATTAATAAAAACAACCAAATGTCAGGCAAAAATTGGTGTTCTTCTCTTCTAAATAAATATTTATATATTGAAAGCTTTGTTTACAAAACTTAAAAATCATTACAAATATAGATAGATATTAACAAGGGAAAGTAAATTTAGCTTGTAGCAAATGTAAAATTAGTTTCGATTAATGGAAAATACCTTGTGGATAAAAATCTGGGGAAAAAATTCTATGCACTATAACTAACAATAATTTATATTTCACTGCAAAGTATTTTAATAAGAATTTTTCTTCTCTGAAGATTAATAAACAAGCTTTAAAAAAAAAGAAAGAAGAAAGATGTTCGGATGTAATGATTATTGATGTGGAATTAGTATACGGAATTCAAATGTCATTAGTCAATTGTTTTCCATCTCTATTTAATAAGGTTAAATAACAGGGCAGGCTAGACTTTCTTGGCTTTGGTGACAGCTAGTTTAGGAGAACTGAATAATAGGCTGGATTGAGCTCTAGCTTTTTGGGGGGTGAAATCAATGTAGGAGGACAACAAAATTGGTCTGACATTTGCACTACCCATGCCCCAGCAAACTTAATGGGGAACTACTACTGATCAAAAAATTTAAATCTGATAGTTCCCAAATATTTGAGGCCACATTTTTTTTAGCGACATTTGTACATTACTCAAACTGAGGATTTCTTTCACTCCCCTGATCCCCTTGGAACGAGAAATCGGAGCCAATTTCAAATTCTAGTTGAATCTGTAACCTTCATTTACATGCTAATATTCTTGAGAAAGATGTTGAATTTTTCTAGACCCAGCTATGGGTTAAATAGTATGACCTGTATATAGAAAAATCATCCTCCAAAAAAAAAATTGTTAGTACAGCTTTCACTCAGGAAAACAATTATTACAATCAAAGTGTTTTGGTTTTAAATAACCCCTAAAGGGTTAAGACAAAAAAAATCTATTGATCCAAATTCATTAAAAAAAAAAAAAAAAAAAATTAACCTTTCAGGTCACAAGAAATGTCTGCATTTATTTTTTTTTTTTTTTTTTATAATTGATTCACTCCAAGCAACAAAGTCACTAAGACACGTGGTTATTGAGATGGAAAGAATATTGGGGGGAAAAAAAACAAAACAAAAAAAAAAACATTAAAGAGTGAGAATAATAAAAGAATGGAAATTAATGATTGACATTGCTTTTAAATTTTTGAAGATCAAAGTTGACAGGAAAGCAAGAATCTGGACGAGAGTTCCCCAAGCAAGAATAGAAACCTAGCATAGAATTTACAGTTATGTCTAGCCATTTCAATTGTAAGATGGTGACACCTTGTCACCAGTCTAGTACTGTGCTTAAATTCTTAAAGTCTATGTACCAAAGAAGAGTGTTCATAATATGAAACTGTTCAGTTGCAAGTTTGATTTGTACCTGGTTAGATGCACTTAACTTGGGTAGGTGTACCATTTCTCAGTGAAATGTTTGCTAAGATGAAAGAATAATCATGGTCTGTACTGTGTCCTGTCAGAACATAGATGATCATGGCTCTCAACAACCAATTCTTAGCAGAATGTTTTCCCGATAACTACAATTTTAACCTGTTCAAGGCTATTATCTTCCACTCCTATACAAACAAATGGCCTCAATGTAACCATCTATCTTGAGTGGGCCCCCAGGTTTCCTAAAGGGTGAACCTTGTTAAAAAAAAAAAACAAAGCAAAAAGACCTTTTCTTTGTAACTCTTGATAAATTTTGTCTTTTTGTTTTGTTATCTCTCCTAAACCTTGCTCTGCCATTCATTTACTCAAACATGCATTGCTTTCCTCTGACCCTCTTGCCTTCTATCTGTCCTGTGAGTATATCAAATTTTCCAATCCCTCTTTCCTATGTGCCCTAGAAATTTCAACTCTCTTTCTGATACTAAGTTTTTTTGTTTTTATTTTCTCTAAAACTTTGTTGTTGCTCACATGTTTGATCCATGATATTATCAGCATCCTTCTGTAGAACCACATTTCTGTTGCTTCAAGTCTCTTTATCTTTGAGGAGATTGTCCAGCATTCACTGCATCTATAGGACAGATATTACATAACTGTTCAGTACTCTTTTCTTTGTTTCTAACAAAGTTTTTCTCTCTTAATAATCTCTTAGATTATATTTCTTTGGATTTCAGTATCACATTTTTTGTCCTCTGTTAGAACACTTCTCAAATTCACATTCTTCTTACATTCTTGTTTTCTGTTAATAGTAGTAAGAATAAATGCTTTTCAATGAAGAAAGAGGAAGTAATTAGTTTATGACATTAACAAACCGACTTCCACATGATAGCAATCAAATATTGTTTGGTCCAAGAAAAATTTTAATATATAGTAGCATCTTGAGAATAAATAAATAAATATTGCAATATTAAGAAAATTAAGTACAATGGAAATCTAATACAAATTCACCTCTTTACTAGTAGAAGCTTTCAGTTGAGCCATAGAACTGTCATGCTAGAAATTCTGGCCATCTGCAGTTAATTCATTAATGATAAGTTTGGAGTTTACATTTCTGGGATGAGAAGTTATTATTTACATGAAGCCAATTGTCCTCATCTTTATTGTTATGTAATGTTTTGGTTGTTGTGCTCTCTTGTCTTCAACAGTTGTATATCAATATGGAGAATTCTGAACTAAACTCTTTAATCTATGGTAGTAGACTGTTCTCATTCCACTGTCTAACCTTGTCTTGGGATATCTTGTCTAGTTTTTATTTTTAGTACTGCTCAGTTATTGTTTGCTCACTTTCCACCAACACTAACATCCCTCCTTGTATGAAAATGATGCAGTCGCCACTTAGAAAAACAATTGTGCACACAGGCCAGTAGATGAAATAAATATTGTTTAAAATAAATGGAGTGTCTATTCAAATATAGGTTACCTGGATTGCTATACACTGGAGAGTACAACAGCTGAAACAAAGATGAGGACAATAGTTAACATAATGTAGATGAGTTTGGCAGTTTTATTATTATTATTATATACAAGTTATTGCTGCTTATGTGCAATTACTGTGTCACCAGATTCATGAACCAATGTTTTAATTGACTTTGTGGAGAACTTAGAGCCTTAAATCTAACCTACCTGTTGATGGGTGCTGTTTGCCATGCTTGGGTGCATTCACGGAGGTTTTTCCTCTTTTGTTACAGCTACTGCTGTTGAAAATCTGCTGTCATTTGTTGTTCTTCCATTTTTAGTAGTTAACATATCCTATTATTTTTTATACTAGGCTTACTAAGGAGGTCCTTGTAATGTAGCATGTTCACTGATTCTTTCAAATGTCTTAATTACCCTGTAGGTAACCTGGATTGATATACACTAGAGAGAACAACAGCTGAAACATAAAGATGAGGACAACAGTTTACATACAAATAGTGTAGATGAATTTGGAGTTTTTAAATTTTATTATTATATACAAGTTGTTACAGATAAATTTGTGATGCATGTGTTTTCAAGAAGGGTCTAAAGTCTAAAATATGTAAATTCAATTTGCCAATGCCTGATAGAATTTTTCAGCAAAATGCTGAAACTTCAAGAATATTTGTAAACAATTTTTCACCAAGAATCATTATTTGTTATTTATTGCAATTAATATTTTTGGTTAGTTGATTATTGCTATAACTAAATGATTTCAATACTCAGTCTACATACAATAGAGATCTGTAATTAACCTGTGTGTTAGTGTATGCATGATGGTTCTTTCAATTCATAATTGAGTTTCCCAGACAACATAGCTCAGGACTCAGGTTTGGACATTGAAGATCTGAGGACAGCAATACATGACTGAACAGTGTAGAAAGGGATTGTCAATGAAGTTCTGACCAACCATAGGGTGGTCAAAGGAGGATGATGAGTATGTATAAGATGTGCAAGTCTTGTATTCTGATCTTCTGGATTAATTAACCATTTGATGAGACTTCATAGACTAATAGATTCATGGGGATGAATTTCACTATTTTTTATTTATTTATTTATTTATTTATTTTTTTTTTTTTTTACATCTCATTAAAATGACATGCATATGCATAACTAAGTTTCATGGCACTTGAACACTATAAAATAAATGAAGTTATAAAAATCTCAGATTAAAATATAAAATTCATTAATTTTTTAGAAATTGCTTTATTTACATTTTGTACATGAAACTGACCAGATGTGTTTTTGAGGAAAATCTAAACAAGTCTATTTTAAAGGTAAAATAGAACCTTACTTTGTGACACTCTTTGTAGCTGAGTGATAAAAGCATGCTGGATCAAATAGTGGTTTCTGCTGCAAAGTGTGTATGTGTGTGGGGGGGGACAGGTGTGAATCCTGCTGAATGGCACATTATTTAAGTTTTCTTGAGTATGCAGGCCAGTAGCCACGATATATGCAGTTTAAAATAAACAGGATGTCTGCTCAAATACAGGTATCCACTAAAGATAACATTTTGCAGTAAAACAAAAAATTCCCTCTACCTGAATCTTTGTTTTATTAAAATGAAATAAAACTACATTTTTATTTTATTTAATCTAAAATTTTTTTTTTTTTTTTTTTTATAAGCAGGAGCTAACTCGCTCAACAAAAACTTGTTCATTTTACTCTTATTGAAAAGGTGTTCTTCAGGGAATATTTAAGGGGGTGGGGTAAATTTCAAGATAATAATGACATAAAATCTTTGAAAAAGACTATTTTGCAGCCTTTCAATAATTAACCATTGTATGTCTTTCTTAATGAGATGCAACTATATTATCTCAGACCATTTCAAGGAGACTCCAATAAAAAGCTGAACTGAAAATATAAAGACAAAAAACAAATGTAACGGTCTCCAAAGGCTAATGAGATAATAAAACTAGTGTTAGAAGTAGAAAGGTTTGCCTATTAATTGGTTTCACACTCCTTCCCTGTCTTTTGAACAGTAGTGGTTTTTTTTTTTTTTTTTTTTTTTTTTGTCTTTTTTAATCAG